CCAAGCCTCTGTTTTAGATTATTTTTTAAAATCTTTCTTTTTTTTCCCCTCAAAGCCTCTGTGTTTTAGACTTTCTTTTTCTTTTTTTTTTTCTTTTTGCTTCCAAAACTTCTTTTTTAGACTTTTCCCCCATTTACTTCTTCTCTCCCTTCCCCGAAAGCTTGTTTTGTTAGACTTTTTAAAAAAAGGTGTTTTTTCCCCCTTCAAAGCCTCTGTGTTTTTTTAAACTTTAAAAGAAACTGTTTTGACTCTTTGGAGAAAGTGCGTTCTGGTCTATCCTCAATGCTTCGTTTGGAAGTCTGACTTCTCTATTTCATCCAGATTTTTGTTATTCCATTTTCTTTAAGTGAAACTTAAGAAGGCAACTACTAACAACATGCATACCATGAAATGTGCAAATTCCTGTTTCTGATTTGTGTGTGAAGGTTACGAACGTGTGCCACTACTGTGGCTTTTGTTTGGTACTGATCGGACATAAATGTGTCACAACGTGGTGGAATCAGGCGCTCGCCAATTTTTTGGGCATGTGGAGTTATTATCATCTTAAAGCCTGCTCATTTGTCTTGCTTTCAATGAGAAAAATACCCGTCTATCTTGAATAGAAACTGAAATATTTGCGTTTGAAGGAGGTAGAGGTTGTCTGGTTTCTGAGATCAGATTAGCGAGAAAATAGCCGGCAACGTTTGGTGACTTCCATAGCTTGGGAGTCCCTGGAAACTGAAAATTTACCTATATTAAATTCTTTTAATCAAAGATTTTTAGTGAAATCAACACAGAAATGTGTTTTGAAATGGAGGTAAAAGATGTTGATAGAAACCCCCCCCCCCCAAAATCCAATAAAAATGGAACAGTTATTTTTCATTTTTTCCTGTAAACCAGGGAAAAAAATGCCGGTATCTTCATTTTTATTATTTTGACGAGCGCCTGATTATGATTTCATCATGATGCTTCACAGATTTGTGTCCGCTTCGTCCTGTAAGAGCTTACCTTTGTACCGGTCACTAATGTGGTTGTGTGTTGGGACATGTGATAACTGCTATGTTGACTAGCTGTTAAATACAACACTGCTGTGTAAGCTGACTAAAGGCCTTTTTTTTCTTCTCATTTTGACGCCAAAACTGTTTATTTGCGAAATTGAAAGCATGATCAGTTACCCTACTTGTGTAAAAAAAAAAAAAATTGAAGTGAATTTGTGACTAGTTTTTTAAAATAAATTAGAATTCCAATTTCGGAATCACTCCATATTTAAAAATGGTTACTCTGATAAAAATACCTCTTTTTTCTTGAAACTGCTGTGAAGGAAAAAAAGGTGTTTTGTCAGCTTCCTGCAGAACAGTAGTCAGTAGGCGCCCTTAGATTGACACGGTTCTGTTTAATTTTTAACTCCACTTTTTGGGGGAACTGAGAACTGTGTTACACGCTGCACACTACCGACACAGACACTGTGTCAACAAGCTTGAGACAATCTGACCTGCATTTATTTATTTATTTTATTTATTTATTTATTTATTTATTTATTTATTTATTTATTTATTTATTCATATATTTATTTATTCATTAATTTTTGTT